CACCTCCGCGTCGTGCAACTTCCCGAACTCGCCGCGCCCCTGGGACTGCGACTTCGGTGGGCTGAATCCACCTGTCCCAGGGGCGGGCTCCGCCGCGGCGGCGTGCAGGAAGTCGGCCTCGCCGTCGAGCTCCGCCGCCATGTAGGGGGTGAGGTCGACCAGCTCCAGCGAGCTGATGGGCCAGGAGTCCCGCATGCCCGACTCCGGCGGCGTAGCGCGCCGCGTCACGGGCGCGGGCCAGGCAGCCCTGGAGCAGGAGGGCCTCCTCGTCGGCGATGGCGCGCAGCGCCGCGCCCGCCTTCGCGAGCTGGTCCGCGAGGCGGTTGCCGTAGAGCTCCACCTCCGTGAGTTCGCCCCGCTCGACGGCCGCCCGCGAACGGTGGGCGGGGATGTGCTTCACGTGCACCCCCTCGGCGGCGTCGCCGACCCTCGCCCGGAGGCGGGCGAACTGGGCCGTCGGGCCCGCCGCCCTCTTCACGTCCTTGCAGGCCCCGACCGTGGCGAGGCAGTCGATCATGAGGTGGTAGTGGCCGACGATGTCCGTGAGGGCGACCACCGCCGCGTAGTCCTCGCCTGCCCTCGCCGTCTGGCCGGGCACAAGGGCAGGCGGCACCGCCCCCCACGCCTGCGCCATCCACTCGCCGTCGGGCGTGAGCACCACCACCGACCAGCCCGCGCTCCTGATCATCGGGAAGTCGTTGTTGACGCAGGAGCCGTCCGTGAAGACGAGGGTGCCCGCGGGCACCACGAGCGCGCCCTCGTCCCAGCCGCGCGAGCGGCGCTCCCAGCCAGGGTCCCAGCGCGGCCTCTGCACCAGGTACTGGGCGTCGACGAAGAGGCCCTGGCAGAAGAGCTCCTCGTAGCGGTGGCCCATCGTGCTCACCAACTCGGCAGCTCGCTTCAAGTCGGCGGGCCTGCGATCTCGCCGCCAGCCCTCCCAGGCAGGGCACCTGTGGTGGCGGTGGGCCAGAGTCCCGCTCTCCTCGCCGCAGAGCAGGCAGCGGTCGTCGATGTCGGTGCCGCGCTTGGCAGCCTGGCCTGCGGCCAGAGTGACAGAGTCGCCAGCCTGCGCAGGCAGCCGCAGTGGTGGCTGGACCACGTCTCCGTGGGCGCGGTGCCGAGGAGCTGGTTGATGGCCCGCCAGTTTGGCGGCAGCTGCCACGGCCACAGGGTCTCAGGCCTGGCGTCGTACTCCTGGAAAGCTGCCGCCTTCCTGGCCGCCTCCTTGGCCTCCTCCGCAAAGAAGGCGGGGGAGTACCGCAGGACGGAGTAGCAGCAGCCGAACTCGTCCTGCAGGAAGTCGCCGTCGTCGCTGAGGCCCCAGCCGATGACCTGCAGCGTGAGCACCAAGGCCGAGATCGGGTCCCTGACGGCAGCCCAAGGGCGCTGGAGCCTCACGATCCTGGCGCTCTCCGCGATGCAGGCCTGGATCACCGCCGCGGAGGCCTGGCCTGCCCAGCGGACGTTGGTGTAGGCGAGGACGGCCAAGCCCGTGGCCACCACTAGCGGGTCCTGGCGCCAGCCGCGCGGCGAGCACTGCAGCAGGAAGCCCAGCGCAGCCCCAGGAGCCAGTTTGCCCATCGCCTTGGCCGCTGCCAGCCTCAGGGCTCTCATGCGGCCAGGCGGGATGCCGTTGCAGGCCGAGCCCCATAGGGCTTTGGCAGAGGGGCCCGCGCGCAAGACCCTCGCCTGCCGAAGGCCAGGCCCGAAGATCTTGTGGAGCCTGCTGGCCTGCCGCAGCGCCGCGAGCTCCCTGCCGACCTGAGTCGCGACTCGCCTGTGGCTGCCAGCCGTGGCGTCGACGCCGAGGTCGCGGTGGCCCGAGACGAAGGCCTCCGCCGCGAGCTGCCAGTCGGGTTCCAGCTGCAGGCGGCGCTGGAGGCCCACCGTGGAGGCCAAGACCTTCGTCTTCGTCCAGTTGATGGGCAGCCGCCTGTCCGCCAGCATCTCGACCACGCCGCTGACGAAGCTCGCGATCGTTCGGCTGAGCGTCGCCGCCCACCCGATGCCGTGGCCTGCTATGTCGTCGATGACGTTGACGACCCTGCCGACGGGCAGCAGCGCCCTGGCCTGGAGCAGGAGGCCGTGCAGCATGAGCCTGGCCAGCGTCGTCGCGCAGGAGCAACCCGCGATGATGGTGCCGCTGACCTCAATGGGCTCGCTGATGGCGGCGTCCGCCGAGGCTCGGCGCGGCCCAGCGTAGACTACGCAGAGGGCCCTGAGCAGGCCGACGCTGAAGCCGTTGCCCTCCGCGGCCTGGCGCAGAAGGTCGTGGTCGATCCGCTCGTAGAACTTGCCGATGTCGAAGTAGACGGAGGCTGCCTCGAAGCCAAGTTGGCGGGCGAGCGCGAGCCCCAGGTTGTGGAGGTAGGCCGCCCTGTCACAGCTGGTGTTCGCGTCCTTGCCCCAGACCTCGGGGAGCGGGTGGTCCGCCTCCCACTTGGCGCAGCAGCGGCGGCGCACCCTGCTCCAGATGCGCATCCACATGCGCATGAGGCCGATCGGGCGGCGGCCTCCGTCTGGCTTCCCCAGGAAGACGATCACCGTGGTGAAGAGGGCTGTGGGCTGCGGCTGCTGCTCCCAAGCCGTGAGCACCTCTGCCATCCTCTCGGCGAAGGGCCTGCCCAGGGAGAGGACCAGCCGCGGGTGGAACGCATCCCAGCCCAGAGCGGTCTGCTTCGGGAACGACTTCGCCGCCTCGAGGATGTCGTCCGCCGTGATCGGGGGCAGCTCCATGGAGCAGATCCAGTCGGCTGGTCTGGTCCTGTGCTCCCCGTCGGCTCCTTTCCAAAGGGCCTTCCACTCTATGAGGATCTGGTCCAGGGCTTGCTGGCCAACAACGGGGAGCGGCAGGCTGTCGGGGCAGTGCGCGATCACCGAGTCCAGCACCTGGTCGCGGTCCTTTATGACAGCGTGGGCTCCTTTCGCCCCTTTCGCCAAGGCCTCGTCCACGAAGTCCTTCCAGCGCAGCCTGGCCGCCTTGGCGTCTTCTTTGCAGTGTCTCGCCGTCGTGCTCTCGATCATCTGCAGGAAGGCCTGCCCTTGCTCAGTGGGCTCCTGGATCACCTCGATCAGCGAGTCGAGCTTCGTGCCTTCGAACATGGCGCAGCCCGCCTGCTCGAACTTGGGCCCCAAGCTCTTGGCCACCTGCACCAGGTGCTTCATGTAGCCCACGTGCCCCACAGGGGGTGAGCAGACCGCAGCAGCCGCACTGAGCTGCCTGGCGATCCTCCCGAGGCAGAGCCAGCACTTGGTGAGGGGGCTGAGCTTCCTGACAGCCTCCGTGCGCTGCAGGTCCGCCAGCTTCTTCCTGACGGTGCGGGGTCCTTTGGCCCTGCCCTGGTACCTCTCACCCTCGGAGATGCCGAACTGGTCGATCAGGTGGAGCTCCGCGGCCTCGAAGAACTCCTTGATCGCCGCGTCGGGCGTGCCGTCGCTGTCGGTGAGGGGGGCTGACCAGCTGATCTGGGTCGCCGCCTGCAGGGATTTCTCGCGCTGCTCAGCCGAGACCTCCGAGCCCACGTCGAAGAACCTGGGGGTCTTGAGGACCCAGATCATGGCGTTGCTGCCCAGCTCGCTGAAAGTGAGCCGCACTGGCGCGTGCGGGTGCAGGGTTGTGGGCTTGATGACCTCCACCTTCGGGCTGAGGCCAGCGAGCGCCGTGGAGATCACGAAGAAGTCGTAGATCTGGTCGCCGCAGGTGAAGGTCGTGGGCGCTACCACCACTCCGCCCACAGCCCGTGGCCACCAAGAGGCGGCGAGGACGCTGGGGTCCATATTCCAGTCGGCCCCCACTATGAACGGCTCGTGGAGGCTGAAAAGGAACTCCTGGAGGTCCGACAGCAGCTCCAGGTTGTAGCCTGCCATCCTGGTCGAGTGCTCGAGGTAGGCGCTGACCACCGTGGCCACGAGATCGCCGGAGGCCACCCGTCGGGCCAGGATGCGGGCTCTGTGCTGGTGCCAGTCGTGGTCGATCGCCGCCACGCCCCTGGTCGTTGACGCCAGCACCCCGACGCCCGCCGAGACCGCCTGCGCCGCCTGCCCCGTGCTGTGGACGCTGCCGAAGGCGGCGCTGAAGCAGTTGCGCCTGGCCCAGCTGCAGGCGTCAGTCGCCTTCTGGCTGGAGGTGAAGCGCGTCTCCTGCACCAGGATGACGTCGTCGCCTGCTCCATCGTCCTGGATCCGCTCCAGCTCCACCTGCGTCTCTGACCAGGTCGAGCCGTTCAGCGTGACGAAGCTGGCTCGCTTCGCTCCCGCAGGCCTGATCAGCTTGGCCAGCTGGAGGGGCTTGGCCTGCGGTCGCCCAGGCTGAGGCTGGGCCGCAGGCTTCGCGGCTGCCGCGGCGGCCGCGCGGCCGCCAGGCGGGCGGCTGCTCGCCGCCTTGGGGCTCCGAACCTCAGGGGGTCTCACGCCCTCGCCCGTAGCCTCGTCAACTTGAATTGGGTACCCACGATTCCTTATGGGCCCCTGGCTGGGCTGAGGACTGCCAGTCCTTCGGTCGGGCCCAGCCAAGTCCGCCGCAGCGCTTGGCTCTGTCCTGCTGCTGAGCGCCTCGAACTTGGTGTCGTGGCGCGCGTCGTCGAGGCGCCGGTCCTGGCGCAGCAGCGGCACTCTGAAGGGAAGCCCTTCCCAGGCGTCGGCCTCCTCGTTGGCCGCCAGGTAGGCGTGCAGGCCGCCGCTCGGCGCCGCCGCCGCCTCGGAGCGGCTGGGCGCCGCCGCCTCTGGCTCCTCAGCCCCGGCTGGGGCGGGCGGCGCCGCGCTGTCGGGGCCGCCGCCTGGCAGCAGGGTGCTACCCGCGGGCCTTGCCACTGCCAGCAGCAGCGCCAGCAGCAGGTGGAGGGGCCGCCGCAGCGGCCTTCTGGTCGGCAGCGCGCTGGCGGGCCGCCTCGTCTGCCGCTCGGCTCTCCACGGCGGCCGCCGGGGGGAACTCAGCTCCTGGCGCAGCGCCTGCGGCGGGGGCGGCGGCGGCAGCAGGGGCGGCCGCCTGTCCTGCAGGCTGCGGCGGGGCGGCAGCGCCCTGCTCGGGGGTGCCAGCGGCCACGGCTGCTGCAGGCCCCTCCTCGGTGCGCTTGCGCTTCTTGGCCGCCTCCTCCTCGATCTGGCGCTTGATGCGCTGCTGGTGCTCCTGGCAGTTGCGCTCGAACGTAGCCTGCGCGCCCTGCATGATCTGGAGCCCCTCATCGCAGAGGCGCCTGAGGGTGGCCTGCGCCTCCTCCTCCAGCTCCGCGGAGTTGTCGAACGACTCCGCGTCGAAGTTGAAGGTGAGCTGCCTCGCGCCGTCGGGCTGGGCGCCCACGACGCCAGCCGCCTGGGCTCGCTGGCGCAGGAGGGCGTTCTCCTCCTCCTTGGCCTCCGTGAGGTTGACCGCAGCCTCGTCGCGCCAGCCGCGGCACTCAGCGAGGTGGTCCTCCGCCGCCACGAGCGCGTCCGCCGCCTCGTCGAGCTGGCGCTGGAGGTTGATCCGCTTCGCCGTGGCCGACTGCAGCCGCTGCTCGAGCGGCTTCGGCGCTGGGGCGACCGCGGGCGCGACGTAGCCCCGCGCGTCGCGGACCGCCTCCTGCAGCCTGGCCGCGATGGCGGGGTCCCCACAGGCGAGGAGCGTGTCGAGCTCGCTCTCGGGCAGGGCCGACCAGGGGGCCTTCGGGAAGCCGCCTCCGCCACGGTCGCCCGCGCCACCGCCGCCGCCGCCACGGGAGGCTGCACCGCGGCCCTTGCCGCCCTTGCCGCCATTGGCGCCATCCTTCGGTGGGCCTCCGCCGCCGCCTCCACGATGTGCGAGTTGGGAGCCGCCGCCGCCGCCGTCCGCCCAGACCCCGCCGCGGGGCGAAGGCTTCGAGGGCGCCAGCTCCAGCCCGATCCCGCACTGCCAGCACTTCGCGTTTTTGCGGAAGTTCCAGCGGTAGCGGCAGCCCGTGCACACGACGAAGCCAGGCGCGGCCTTGGGCCCCATCGCTGGATCGGGCGGGCGCGCTGCTCAGCCGCGGGCGTGCAGCAGGCAGGAGCCGACGGGGGCGGACCCGCCGACACAGAAGAAGTCGTGACCCGCAGGTCCTGGAGGGTGCTGCTCTGGCAGCTCAGATTTTGGCACGGAGGCGCGGAACCCCCCAGTGCAGGCATCTTGAGCCAAAATGGCTACGGACTACGGCGGAGGCCTTGGATAAGGAAACCTTGGATAAGGAATCCAGGGCCTGGAAGCCAGTCGGACTTCCATTGTGGATCGGCCATGGATATGGCCTCGGCCCTCAGCAGATAAGGAATCCTCCAGAGTCTGAACCCTCCTGGACACATTCCTTCAACAACGCCCCCACCGTACGGATCTTATACGCTTCTGAACGATTTGGTCACATCCCCCGTTCACCGAAACTGCAACGGCCATATTGGGGAATGCCGTTCCCCACAGTCATGAGTCGCACACGCACGCACACCCACTGGGTCAACACACGTCCTGAAGTTCATGTAGTCCTCGTTCCGTCGGCAGATTGACCAGGAGAGCGGACAAGACAGAGAGAGAGAGAGAGGGCAGGGTAGCTAATGAATGAACGAAGGCCCCGCACGGGATATTGCGGTTACAGCCTCAATAGAGGCACAACTCTGCTTCGGGAATTAGCGGCGCACATCAAGCAGGGGGAGCTCGTGCACGAAGCGGTCGCGGGCACAAGATGATACCGACCTCCGACCCCCCTTTAGCAAGCTAACGCCACCCCGAACGCGCTGATGAGGAAACCTGCCAAAAGAAGCGGCAACCCACCCCACCCACAAGAATCAGCAGAGGAAGACATGCACACACATACGCGCACTCACACACACTCACACACACACACACTGGGTGAACACACGTTCTGGAGATCATCGAGCCCTATCTCCGTCGGCGGATTGACCTGGAAAGCGAACAAGACAGAGAGAGAGCAGAGGAGCAAGGGGGAAAGGGGGCGCCGCGGGAGCAAGGGGGTGACAGCCGACAGGACGTGGCCCGAAACCGCGGACCGACCAAGACCGTGGCGGAGCAGAAAGGCCCGCCCCCCTCGCGGCGCGAGCGCGAACCGTGACAGGCAGGCATCCGGCAGGCTTCGGCCTCTGGGGGCTTCTGCTCGGCCACGGGAGCGCGCGCCAGGCGCAACACAGCTCGCCGACTCCGCCTCGCCGCTCGCCCGGACGGCGACTGCAAGACCGGGCGTGGCCCAACCACTGTGAGCCCCCGCGCTGGCGAGGGCAGATGAAAAAGGTTCGAGGTTCGAGGGCTCTGTGGGGCCTCTGTGGGGCCTCTGTTTTGGACGCCCGAAATGGGCATGGACAAAAATCGGCACTGTGCCCAACAACAAATGTTGTCCCAAACCAACAGCGGCCGCTGTTGGGCAGGCGGCCTTCTGTCTCGAATAGACACAGGCCGCGGCGGCGCGGACAGCGAGTCCTGTTCAAAATGAACAAGAACTGCTGTTGGGCACTGTACCCATTCTATCCGTACCCATTTCGGGCGTCCAGATCTGTGGGGCCGCGGCTGTACCCGCACAGTTGCTACAATGCACCCGATGGAGAGGATCGGTCGATTTGTGACCCCCAATCCCAGACCGCCTCGCGTCGTGAAAAACGCACGTCTCACGATGTTTGGTAATTTTCAGGCTCGGGTGGGGACTGACCCCAGGCCGTCAACAAGAACTCAGGAAGGATAGCCGGCCCGAGGGGAGGTGTCGACAAGTCTGAGTGCTCGCGCAGTGATCTTCAACATTCCGTTTCAAAGAGAGAGCGTGATCCACCGCCGCTTTACTGTGGAAAATTCAACCCGCCTCTTCCTCCAGAACCCGGGGTCCCCCCCCCTCCGAAAATCCCCCCCCTCTGCTGGAACCCCCCCCTCTCACTGGCAAAGCCCCCCCCTCCCCGCTAACCCCCCCCCCCGCCCCCCTCTGGATAACCAGGGGGTGTCACTACTGGTTCGACCCCCCCCCCCTTCCGGAAAACCGGGGGGGGTCACTACCGGTTCGAACCCCTCTCCCCACCCCCTCCAGAAAACACCGGGGGGGTCACTACCGGTTCGAACCCCCCCCGCCACCAGTCCCCCAAAAAACCGGGGGGGGGTCACTACCAGTTCGAATTCCGCCCCCCCCCAGAAAACTGCACCGGTTCGATACCCCCCCCCCTCGGAAACCGGGGGGGTCACTACCAGTTTGAACAACCCCCCTCCCCTTCTCGAAAACCGGCGTGGGTTACTACCGGTTCGAACCCCCCCGCACCCCCTGCTCGAAAACCGGGAGGGGTCACAACCTGTTCGAACCCCCCCCCCACGTCCCCACCACTGTCCCACCGTTGTCCCCGCTGTCCCCACCAGTGCCCCCACCAGTGTCTCACTGTCCACACTCTCCCAACCATTGTCTCACCACGGTCCCGCTCTTCCCACTTTCCCTACGGTCCCCACCACTGTCCCACTGTCCCCACTGTACCCACCACTGTCCCAATGTCCCCGCCGCTGCCCCACTGTGCTGTCCCACCGTCCCCACCGTCCCCATCACTGTCCCACTGTCCCCGCCACATTCCCAACTGTACTACAGTCCCACCACTGTCCTCACCACCGCCTTCACCACTTTCCCCACCACTACCGTCCGCACCACTGTCCCACTGTCCCCACCACTGTCCCGCTGTCCCCTCACCACTGTCCCCACCACCACCATCCCCACCACTGTCCGCACCACTGTCCCACTGTCCCCGCACCAGTGTCCCCAACCACCACCGTTCCCACAACTGTCCCAGCATCCCCACCATTGTCCAACTGTCCCGAGGACGTGTACAGGGAATCGTTTGCCGGCGGCGAGGGGGAGGGGGGGGGTTCGAACTGGTAGTGACCTCACCTGGTTTTTGAGGGGGGGGGGTCGAACTAGTAGTGGCCCCCCCCTGTTTTCGAAGGAAGGGGGGGGGTCGAACCGTTAGTGACCCCCCCACCCCTTTTCATGATGGACTGGGGGGGAGGGGTTCGAACCGGTAGTGACCCCCCCTCCCTCGATTTTCGAGAGGGGGGCGGACGGGTTGGGACCCCCTAGTGCCCCCCCCCGGTTTTCCGCCAGCAGCGGTAGAACACGCTCTTTCGTTTCAAACAGTGCCCACCAAGAAGCTGGTACAAGTGTGTGCTGATCTTGATGCCCCGAGCAGCTCCAATGCAACTGGTTAGACGCGCCCATTCATGGCCGTTTCATGTCTTGCGTTTGATCATGGGTGCTGTACGCTACGATACAATGTGATGCTCTGCACGTAGCATGCAACAAGTGGTTCCATGTATGTTGTTGGAATCCGACACCGTACCTCTGGTACGTTCGCATGCGATTGCTGTTTGCCTCCGATTTACAACGCTGGCTCACGACTCCGATATGTCACGCGGTCCTTATACTGTTTACGCTTGGTATGGGTGTAGGTCTGTGATGTGCGCTTGATTGATGTGAACATTCGGAACGTATTCCATGTGTGCCTGCTTGATGGTTCCCTATCTCCTCCCCATGTGTGGTGTATGTCGGTGCTGCCAAACATGTAATGTATATGTTCAAGATGGGCGATGCAAATGAATAGAGATATGACCACCTACATGTCGTCATGTCTTGGCGCATGTAGCTCGAACGATGTACGCATATAATGCACAAGTATGTCGCAGTCTTATGCAAGCTCTCATTCTCGGAACGCTTGCTATGCACGTCTGTGGATTCTGTGCTTCGGGTGACCTCTCTGTAGGCCCGAATCGTCCGTGCGCGTGCTCCTCATGTATGCATGTTGAGCCTTCTTGACGTCTGCCCTTATGTTATGCATGACTGTGCTTGGCGTGTGTTATGCGTACTGCTTTCGTCCGCACACCACACTTTGCATGTTTGTAAGATGCGCGGTTGTGCTGACCATGTGTCAGAAATGCCCGCTGTAATTGCCTCACTTGGTGGTTGAACTCAACTGTGGGCGTCGGTCCGCTGTGTATGTGGCTAACGTGCACAACACGTTTGCATGTGGTGCGCCAGATGCTTGTACCTACATGGTCGGTAATCGTGTTCAGTATGTCGCCGCGTAGGCGCACTTTCTACTCGTCATAATGAGGGGCCGAATGGTCATTCACTGTCACTGGGCGCGAGGCTGAAATGGGGTTCCCCGGTGCCGATTCTTGTTGCTCTATTGTTTCGCGACCCTGCCCGCGACCCATCCGCAACCCAGCCGCGACCCACCCGCGACCCACCCGGCGACCCACCCTGCGACCCACCCGCGACCCACCCGCGGCCCACCCCGCGCCCGCCCCCTCACTCTTATCCACAACTTCGGGGTGCTAAATACCTCTTCGAGTGCGATGAGGAAGAGCGTGCGTGTGTATGGATGGGGTGCGTGCTTCCTTGCCGTCCTTCATTCGGTGTGTGCCCTCCCTGGTGCCGTCGTGTGTCGAGGACGGGAAAGGGCACACCAGGGGTTGTTTTGACTCGCAACCGCGGGCCGACGGCCGCGGCACGCGGGACCGATCGTTACGAGACCGATGTTGCATCACAGCAGCAATTCGGCCCCTGACTTTCGTCCTGGGTTCGGTTTAGTGAAGTGATGAATTTCGGGGTCCTTCCGTGGGAAAAAAACATCACTTCACTAATCTGGGGCCCCTGGGGCCTCAGTGGGCCCTGGGGCCCAAAATTAGTGAAGTGATGCTTTTCGGGCCTCGGAATCGTGACGCCCAAGAGCCCGCCACCACGGGGGCCCTCCGAGCTCGAGGCCGACGCGGCGCCCGCCGACGGCCGAAGCGGCGGCCGCGAGGGCGGCGCCAAGGTTCCGAGGCGCGGGGGGCCTCGCGCAGGCGCCGGAAGGCGTCCGGGGCCTCGGGAACCGTGGGGTTCTTATCCTGCGGGCCGCCAGGAGAAGCAGGCTGGAGGACGAGGGAGGGGAAGGAGGAGGCATGAGGACAAGGCAGGGGGAGGAGGAGGAGGAGGAGGAGGAGGAGGAGGAGGAGGAGGAGGAGGAGGAGGAAGGAGGAGGAGGAGGAGGAGGAGGAGGAGGAGGAGGGGGGGAGAGGAAGAGGAGGAGGAGGAGGAGGAGGAGGAGGGGGAGGAGGGGGAAGGATGCCCCGAGGCACATACCGACAGCGCCTCCCCTCCACACCACCCTCTCCTCCTCCTCCGCTCCTCTCCCATCTGCCGCTTCCCTCGCCGCTCTTCTCCAGCGCCTCCCTCGTTCCACGTCCTCTCCTCTTACTCGCACAGCTCCCTCGTCGGAGGCTCAGGGGGCTCCAGACCAAACCAACAGAGAGGCAGAGGGGGGGCGGACCCAGGTTTGGCCAGGCCGTGCCCATGGGGGGCAGGGTCCCCTCTCCCCTCTTCGTCACCCTGCTTCCTGGGAAGGGCGAGGGGGGAACACCGAAACCCGTTGAACATCGATCTCCGGCCCCATCATCTTCCCTTCTCCCCCCCAGAGCCCCGACGTCGTGGCTTCTCGCAGAGGCCTCGACTCTTTCCCTGGGCCCCGCGTCTCATCCCGAGTAAGTGTTTGACGGCCCCGATTCGGGGAAGGGCCAACACATGAGCGGAGAGTGCAAGATGAAAAAGCCGCGGGATCTCCCCACGACGAGACGAGGTCCGGGCCCTCTCCGACTACTCTGTATGCTCGGGTGCTCTACATGCTGGAGTGATTGCTGCATGAGGCTCGAGCGTAAGGTCGTTTTGGTATGGACTCGTGTGCACAGCGGCTTTCGTGAAGCGAGAAGGCGGAGAAGGAGGGGGAGGATGAGGGGAGAAGGACAAAGAGGAGGAGGAGGAGGAGGAGAAAGAAGAGGAGGAAGTGGAGGAGTGGGAGGAGCAGGAGAAACTGGAGGAGTCAAGCCAAGTCAGGTCAGATCACCCCGCTCGTACGAGGAGTCTAGCTAAGCCACTCCGCTCGCACGAGGAAGAGGAAACAGGGGAAGAAAAGCAGGAGGAGGAGGAGGAGGAGGAGGAGGAGGAGGAGGAGGAGGAGGATAGAGTCTACGTCGTTGGACGCCGCGTGACCCGTTGTGGGGGCCTCCAGGGACCCCCCGGGACTGGCGAATCCCCTGGAGACCTTCAAAGAGGAGGAGGAGGAGGAGGAGGAGGAGGCAGATCCGAAGGGATGGGTGAATGGAGGCGGAAGCCTGACGAATAAACGACTTACGGAGCCCATGGAAGCTGCCATCGACGTAGTAAAGCCATTGGCAATATTCGACGGGTTGTGGGACATCAATTCAACGAGCAGTCCTGTCATCAATGAAATAGCTTCCTCCTGGCCGGCGATCTGGCTTTCAATATCAGCAGTCCGGCACTCAAAGTCGGAGGCAACACCATCACAATAATCATGAAGGCAAGTATGGGCCACTGGCTTCACCTCTTCAATATAATCCTTTACGTCGTCTTTCTAATCACCAAGGAAAACAGCACGGATGGCACTCCTGTAATCACACACTTCGGCATGTTGTCTGTGAATCGTTTGCCGAAGCTCGCGAGTGCGAGGGCGTAGCTCGTGCTAGACCATGTTCTGCACTACAGGGCAGTTTATATCTGATGTTTAAATACATGCTTAATGTATGAATGAATTTATCCATGAACTCATCGTTGTTTTCAATACTAAATCCCTGTATTTCGTATACATGATCCGCACGCGGAGCATGTCTTAAAAACGGCACTGTAGGGACTGGGAAACGCCAACATCCTGGACCAAGGACACACGGGGATGGAGCTCGCGAAGGTCCTTAGTCACCGACTCACGGAGGAGCTTTCTGGCCCCTGGTCAGAGCAGGCTGCAGCTCAACGCGTGGCTTAGCACAACGGGATTGGAGCAGACCCCTCATTGCGTCCGATTTGGTGTTCACATTGGCAGCACTCGGGACCAGCTTCTCGAGGTACGCGGCAAAATCCAGATGCGCAGCACGCAAGGTAGAAACAGTCTGCTGAACAACCTGACTCAGATCTGAAAAAGCTTAGTCAACGCTCTCTTAACGTTCACGGAGGTTTGCCATATCCAAAACAAGGGTACTGAGATTGCCAGCGACAGAAGTCCCTGGGAGCACTGCGAGAATCGCCATTTCCATTTAACCAGTTCTGCGATGGACACGAACTGCTTCTCATTATTGTGTTCAACAGCCTGCGCAAGAGAAATAATTGGCCTCATCGAGAGCAGCAATCGAGCTATCAAATGCCTCGGAGGCCTTCTGATTGTTCTGCTGCACATCTTGAAGGGCGGCCTACAAAGCAGAGTATGATATCATATCAACTCCAATGCTGGGCACGTACGGTGGCATAGCGCAAGAGGCAACAAACCCGAAATCGCAGCAGCCATGCCCAGACTCGTGATATCAGAAAAGGGGACGCAAGCCCCGCCGCCCCAATGCCACTCCCAGTCCTCGTATGCCCCAAGGGCTGCGAACGGTATGTGGCGACGGGACTCTCATCAGAGCGGTGGTGTGCGGGAGGGGACAAGACAGAGGCATCCGAACGTAGCGTGGAATGCGAGGGAAGCCGTGAACGCCACCTGGGAGCAACTGGCCCCACAAACACAGACCCAATGCCGATGGACCCTGGCACAGGCGCTTCGGGGAAGAACTCAGCCGCATCAGCACGCAGACGGGGAGCGCCACACTTGGCGGCGAGGACACGACAGGAGCGGCAACCGACCCACTCGTGCTTAGCGCGATTCGCTCGATGATGAAGAGCAAGAGCGTGCTGGACAGTAGCAGCAGGGAGCCTGGCACCACGCGCGGCATCCCGAGCGTAGTGAGCAGGCTCCTCGATGAGCTGGTCGTGGTCGTGGTGTAGCTCCAGAGACTGGATCATCTTGAACGCGCGGCCTGTCAACGAAGCACGCACTGGAACCAGAGACTCAGCCGTTGGTGCACAGAGGAATCGCCGATCAATAGCACGCAGGCGGCGTCGCTCAGCAGCGCGAGCAGATCGGCAGTGCACCACCGCGGAAACAATATAGACCAAACTGAAAACAGGCCAGCACGCGGGGCGCTGGCGCAACCATGAGCAAGCTCGAACCAAAGCTGGCTTGAGCCGAACTGGCTACGGAGGAGGAGGTGGAGGAGGAGGAGGACGAGGAACTGAGGAGGAGGAGGAGGAGGAGGAGGAGGAGGAGGCGGAGGGGAAGGAGGAACGGAGGAGGACGAGGAGGAGGTGGAGGAGGAGGAGGAGGAGGAGGAGGAGGAAGGGATGAGGGAGAGGGGGAGGAGAAGGGCGACGACACCGACGGGGGGAGACAACGGTGGGTCTGTTCGGGCCCTCGGTGTCCGGGTGCAGCGCGCGCGAGAGCTGGCGGTAGGTGTAGGCGATGTCCGCCTCGCCGTAGCCTGGGATGTGCGCCCAGGGAAGGGGGGGGGGGGGGCCTCGCTGGCGGGCGGCCGTGCCCGGCGGCGGCGGAGCAGGAGAAGATGGCGGCGAGAGGAGAGAGGCGCCGAGCGTGCGCCAGACCTCCTCCTGGCCACGCTGTCCCGAACCCCCCCCTTCTGATGCTGCTCTCCCCCCCCATCCAGCTTCTGCTCCTGCTCCACCTCGTCCTCGTCCCTGTCCTCGTCAGGTCGTCGTCGGCAATTCTCCCCTTTCCGCTCCTTGTCTCACGCCTCTCCATCCTCATCCTTCTCCTCCTCCTCTTCCTTCTCCTCGTCCTTCTCCCCAACTTCCTCTTCGCCGCCCTCCGCCACATCCCGCCTCCTCCCTCCCCCCCTCATTCACATACTTCTTCTCCATCGGGTTCGGGGCAGAACCTCCCACCTGCGAAACTCATTGAACGATTCCTCATTGAATGGGTATCGTACTAAGGATTTCTTGGCAACGACATCCTTACGAATCAATGCTTACTAATGGCACCACGAATAGTTATCATCAACGGGTGCCCGATCAGGGATCCCTTGATTGACTAAATCCTGATTAATGAATGTTAGTCAAGACGTCTTTACGACCTCGGCCCCGGCCGCAGTCACAGTCCAGTGATGGTGTCAGTGGCCATGGGGGGGCAACAACACCTTTCAATAACAGATTGTCAGCACTTATCAAGAACAGCACCTGTCTTGATTTTGCACCCCCTCCTCCCCAAAGAAGTTTCCTAACCACGAATCCCGTACTGAAGGAATCCGTACCCAGGGTCCTTTCCCTGAAGACAGCCTTGTGAATGAAGCCTGGCGGCAGTGCGTCTTTCTACGGAGTCCTCATTGCAAGGGTCTTCACTGAGGAGGTCCTTACTGAAAGCATCCTCACTAAAAAGGGCCTTACTAACATCAGAGCTACAAAGGGTTCCTTCCTGCAAGTATCCTTACTGAAGGGGCCCTTACAGAATGACGCATGGCTACTAAAGCATTACTACAGGCTCCTTACTGAGGGGCTCCTTACAAAAGGCATCGTCACTAAGGATTCTGCGCTGGGGGGATCCTTGCTCAGAATCCCTTGACCAACGCATCCCCGCTGACGAACGCACCCTGGCACACTCCCTGGGGCCCCCCCGCTGAAGAGATCCGTTTCAGGGCTCTTGGAGACAGGCATCTTTACGAACGAGCGGTTGCCGAAGAATTCCAAAAAAAAAGGTCAAATCCGAACCCCCTCACGACACGCATCCTGACGAAGGATCTCCTCCAGTGGCCCCACTGGAGGCGTCCGCACGGCGTGCCACACGGGCTGGTTTCTTTGGCTGGGCTGCAACGTGGGGTGTGAAGAGGGCGATGGAGGCGAGGGTTCGTGGCTGGGGCGCGGGTGGCTCAAGCTGCTCTCTGAGACCGCAGCCCCACCCTTCGCGTTGGCATGATCTGCAAAGAAAGCTTTGGCATCGTCAGAATTATGGGAATGGACCCCACGCCAAGGGCGCCTGGAACGACCATCCCTGGAACTCCTGCGGTGCTGGAACCCACCCGGGTTGTGGGCATACAGCCGGGGACGTGATCAAGAAACGCATAATTTAAGACATCTGGGCCAACTCCCAGGAAGTTTGTTAAGACAAGACCTGGGCCATGTAATGTTGTTCACGCGGGAGGGGGGGGGACGAGCTTGCTCACGAAACTGGGCCAGCTTTTCAGCAAGTTGGTTAAGAAACGCTGGCCCAGCTTTTCAGGAGGAGGTCTCTTAATCAGCGGCTCGACTGTAGCCTGCTGGAGAAACTTTTTCTCGTACGAATTGCGCGTTGGAGCATCATCCCTTGTAAGGCTGTATGTATATATACAAGCACCCCTCAAATGCGGATAAGAGTGATGGAGAGAGCGCAAGCACCTCCTCGCCCCGCTTCCACCCACTTTCTTGGGTGTGTGTGTGAGAGAGAGAGAGAGAGAGAGCAGCTACGCCCCCCTCCCAGTTCCCCCCCCGCCAGGGCTCCTGAACGCAGGACGCCCTACTCGGAATCCCTTACTGCACGCATCCCTACATACATCGTGCTAAGGCGCGGGTCCTCGGCGCGACCCCCGTGGCCATTAGACAAGTCGGGGATGGACAGACCTTCGAAAACGACCTCGGGCCCAAACCTGGCGGGCGCAAGCCTGGAAAATAACGGCCGCGGCGCCCTCTCGAGAACCGAAAACGGACAATTCACTAATCGACGTGTCAGGGTAGGAGGTCTGTCCACCCCCGAACAAGGATGAGGGCTCCATTGCGTCTGCCTGTTATGATTGCCCACGCAGCCACCTTTTCAGAAGGACGCGGGGCTTCGTCGATTGGGATTGGGTGCAGAGCAGGGGGGGGTCGAAGCGAGCGAGAGCAATCCGCGAGGAGATGCAGGGTCCTTTGTGGTGCCTGCTGGTTCCCTTCCTTCCCTCCCCGATGGGAGATCTTCCAGTTGTCTCCGGCACATCTTGAATGGAAGCTTGACAGGATCTCGCTCTCCGGAGATCCGCCCACACTCTGGTGGGTCATCCTCAAAATTTCTCTCTTTCGTCGCCCCCCACCCACCCAGCCTTGCTTTGCCGGGCGGGCGGGCGGGACACTTGCTCCAAAGTTGGATGGGTACCAGGGCCGCGGATTCAGCAGGAGAAGACGGACAAGGAAGAGGAGGACGAGGAAGAGGAGGAAGAGGTGGAGGAAGAGGTGGAGGCGGAGGAGACTGTCCGCACGCGCCCAGGCACTGGAGAGCCTCTGGAAACGGATCCCTCTGGCCCCGAATCTACCCCACAGGGTGCGCCTCCTCCTCCTCCTCCTCCTCCTCCTCCTCCTCCTGTGGGATAGGGTGCGCCTCCGTGGTGCGACCCCCCGAGCCGGAGCACCGCCCCCGCGCCCAGGACGCGGCCGCCGCCGGGGCAGATGCGCCTACGGCGGCCACGCTGCGACGACGGCGGCGCCGGCGACAGACGGCTGCGGCGGCGACGGCGACGGCGACGGCGACGTCAGGGACAGCGGGAGCAGCGGCGACGGCGAAGGAGCGACGGCGGCAGCGGCGGCCACGGCGCCGACCACAGTGGCGTCGGCGACGACGGCGAGGCAGGCAAAGGAAGGAGACTGCGAGGGAGGGCGGAGTGGGAAGAGAAGGAAATGAGAGAGAGAGAGAGAAGGAGAGGAAGGGAGAGAGAGAGGGACAGAGAGGGAGAGAGAGGGAGAGAGAGGGAGAGGGAGGGGAAGGGAGAGAGAGAGAGAGAGAGTGAGAGAAAGAGAGAGAGAGAGAGAGAGATAGATAACACAACAGAAAACAATACCCAAACCTTACCAAAGCTCTGTTCCACGCGGAGCGACCGTTAGTATGAATGCTCCATGCACAAGAACACACTTCGAACTATGCGGCACTCTGAGACGCTTCGCCAAACAATGTCGGGCTACGCGCGTCGCACACCTGCGCAACTCAGATCGCAAAACGGGACGGCGACGACACGCACGACACGGAACATAGAACGAGGGACCGACGTGGACGAGAAACGCGTGCGGCCGAGTCTTGCAGCAAGGGGCAGAAGGAAGGGCCAACATCGGGCCCAACTCGTCTTCAACAATTCCGAAAATGAAGAAATGACGGATCTCAGACGCGACAACAAATTGGGCAAATCATTGCATCAACCTTCACGCACCTGGTGGGGCTGCCCCATCTTAGGGCGCCAGCCGGCCTTAATGGCCGTGGCGGCATAACGCTGATTCGAACGGGTCTTACTGTGCTCTGAGAGCCCATGACACCTGCCCGAAGGCTTACAATTTCTGACTCGGCGAAGCCCGAGATGAAACGAACCACAAAGCGTGCAATCCATGGCCCGCGGCCAAACAACACGCGATGGCCCTCAAGGACGACGGTCTCATCAGAATCTGGCGGCGATGACCCCCACGGACTAGGAACGCATCCCCAGGAGGCCCTTCGGTAAGGGAGCTAGCAACGTTAAGGACAACCACAACAACCTCGGCCCTACACAGCGAGGCTTTCTGCAAATCCTTATTCTGCTTGATCTCAGAGCCTGGTGCTCTGAAGACTGGCAGACAACATAATAAGCGGAGCCAAGACTCATTTTACGGAGACGGGCGGGGGTCCTCGCAATGGCCTAGCAGCGCTCGCACTGGTCGACCCCAAGGGTCATAACGACAACCGTGTGAGGGCATGTACCTGCACATGGTGCGGGGGTGGCCTCACTCATTCGCATCCTGAGACGGTGAGACGGTCGAGTCTTCCCAGGCTCCGCATCCCTGGGAATCTGGCATGTGGCCGCGTTTGAAAAGAACCAAGCCTGCAGACTGGCGTCCTGCAACTTGGATCCGTAGGACATCACCAAGTGTTAGCGAACGGGTGGCATTCAGCACCAGGCCGAGCAAAATGATCAGCCCACAGATTTCCCAACATGAGCGACCATGGGATCCGAGAAGCAATTGTGTCCACTGGTGTTTATCTCGACGCTTGCCTGGCACCAATACGCGGCAAGGCGAAGGTCTCCCTGCACGTACTGGCATCCCCCTATCGCCAAGCTGAACCATCACCCGGCCGCAACGCCTTAGTTCTGGTCACGATGGGGTCGTTCCAGACCAATCCGTCAGCACTACCGATGTCCAGGAATCCCTGTCTCAGGCACACTCCTGAAAGGTCGTGGGGCATTGCGCTCGACATGTGGAGGAAAGGAAAGACGAAAGACATAGCGGGACACCAACGCTGTTACTGACGTAGTCCCAGTCGGGCCCCCCTAGAAAACCTTCTCCCGTATCCCGAACATATCGACCTACGTGGTCCAGACTGTGGTCCCAACACAACTTATCTTCACCCGTGCTTTGGTACAGCCCGGACATGCGAATGACTCGTGCCCGATGGTGGCCTCGTCAGCCGAGCACCCTACACATGCAGGCGAGATCTGGTAGTCTGTCTCGTGCAAGTTGTCCCTTGGCCAGAAAGATCCAGACCACAGCTCACGCAAGGCTCCAGCAACACGAGGGTGTGCGACAGCTGCTCTTGCTCCACCAAGGCGCCTCCCCATGTGATACCACCACCCGTGCACGTATCCTGGCGACGTTCACGTATCCTCGCTAGGCGCCACCTTTCCGGAATCCTGTCAAACTGACTGAGGCCTGGAGGTCCCTGGGAGGGATCCCAGCATGTCGAAAGTGTGACTTGAATTGCTGATGAGGCCCGTGGCAGAATACATTCCCCAACCTGTTCTCGTATGCAAGGGGAGGCCAAGAGAAATCATGGTGGGCCCCTTGCAGCTTCGAGGAGCCCGTGCCAGTGAACTAGGATTGGAAAACCATCCAAGCCTTTTTGTAGCCTACCAAGACAAACCCGATGGTCCCAGACGGATAGGAGGTATAGGTATAAAAAGAACCCATGGCGGCATGATATATCGGGTCATACTTGGTGTCTGCGCGTGTGGCTGACACTCATGTGAAAGAAGAAACAAATGTAGCACTGCATCCAAAAAGTCGGCCGGCAGTTTGGCACAATGTCACCAGCTCCTGATCGCTCGCGCCAGCTGAGCGAATAGTCGCTTCGCCTGCTTCCGAACAGGCGTCACAGCACAAAATTAATGTCCTAAACTTCGCAGCCATCTTTTACATGGTGACGTGATACTCGAGACCACCGTCTTGAACTCTGTGAGCGAGGTCCGTATCCTTCACGAAGGCACTGAGGCCCAGCAAGAGCTCTGACAAGATTCCTCCTGAAGTCCCTATACACTGGATGTGCTGTCGTCCACCAGGGCCTTGGAGGTCACGTTGGGGCACAATTTCTTGACCTTCACGATGGACCTGTAGGTGAGGAACGTAAGGAGAGTTGTGGCGTGGGTACATCCCGCAAGTATGCCGGCCCAGCGGGCCAGAGGCGTGCTAAGATCTCCGGTAACTGGATATGCATAATCTATTTCGCGCGCGCGGGGCCGCCCCTGGGGCCCCTGGACCAAAATAACCCCCGAATCCCTTGCAAGATCCCGGCGTCCTGGCAGACTCGGATCACAGATGGTTTTGCTCCTGGGGGCGGTTTTCGGGGCCCTCCAGATCGCCCCAGGAGCGGCCCAAGGAACCTCAAGGCAGCCCCACAAGGGCACACGAATTCAAATCACGGCCCAACAACGCTCCAAGACGCCCCAGATGGCCCCAAGACGGCCCAAGAGGCCCCAAAGAAGCCCCAAGAGCGCCCCAAGAGGACCCCAAAGATAGCCCAAAGAAGCACAAGTCATTTATGTTCCCTGCGTTTTCATGTGTTTTGCGCGTTCTAGCGTTTTCGGGCTTTCGAGGCTCCAAGATAGCCCCAGATGCCCCCAAGACCGCCCCAAGACGGCCCGATGGCCCCCAAGAGGGCCGCAAGACAGTCCAAGAGGGCCCCCAGACGGCCCCAGAGGCGCCCAAGAGGGCCCAAAGAAGACCCCAAGAGCCCAAGAGGGGCCCAAGAAGGGAAACACGCGCCACCAATACGAGCCTTCCGCCCCGAGAGGCCCTCAGGAGGCCCCAAGAGGCCCCCAAGAGGCTCCCAAGAGGCCCCCAAAGAGGCCCCAAGAGGCCCCCAAACGGCTACCAAGAGGCCCCAAGAGGCTACGAACGCGCAAGCAAACACCGGCGATGGCACAATACGGGCCGGCGGAATGAGATGCCCTGGTACACCGTCACTGGTTTACCCAAACATCTGAACGTATTGCTGACCCGCGGCTGCGGGCAATTCCCTGTAAACGTCCAGAGCAATCGAAGAGGCAATCGCAACCGACGAGTTTCATCAACCAAAGCGGGAACCAACACCGTTTCAATACACTCCCATTTATCCAAGGACACCGTGAGCGAAAGTTCGCTTAGATCTGCCGCCAGTGTTGCTTCCAACTTGTGCTCAAATGCGGAAAGCTAGAAGAGTAGCCCCGACGATTCCCACAAGGGGAAACAATAACTACTGGTGAGAGTGACATCGCCATGCTGCTGCTGCTGCTGCTGCTGCTCTGCTGCAGGCGACAGATTACTAAGGATCTGGGGGGACAATGGGCCACCGAGGACCGCGTCAAGCGCTGGGCGACGCTCCAGCGCTCTGCGCTCGGTGATGAAACTTGGCCGCGAAATAAGGGCACACGCCATGTGGGCGCCCTGCACCCCACTTTGTCTCCCATGAGCCCAACCACCTGGCGACAGCTGAGCAGTTCGCAGCTCCCGACGGAGCCGCAAGGTCTCCAATGATCCACGTTGCCCTGCACTTCAACGTGCCTCCAAGCAGCCCACGAAAGTGGCAACAATTGCGCAGTTCGCAAGCCCCCGAAAGAGCCGCGAGGTCTCACATGATACATGATCCGCGCTGCCCTCAGTCCGCCGCGCATCCCAAGACACCACGAACGTGGCGACAATTGCGCAATTCGCAAGCCCCCGAACGAACCACGAGGTCTCAACATGATCCGCGTTGCCTGGTAGTCTACCGTGCCTCCGAGGAACCTTCGAACTTGGCGACAATTGCTCAATTCGCAGCTCCCCCCAAAGAGCCGCGAGGTCTCCAAATCACCCGCGTTGCCCTGCGATCCCCCGTGCTTCCCAGCAGCCCACGAAACGTGGCGACGGTTGCGCAGTTCGCAGCCCCCGAGGCAGCCGCGAGGCCTCAAACTGATCCTCGTTGCCCTGCACTCCGCCGTTCCTCCCAATTTGCGCAGCTCGCAGAAACACACACGGGAGCCGCGACGTCTCAAAATGGTGCGCGGTGCCCTGCACTCCCCCGCGCCTCCCAGCCGTCCAAGAGAAGTGGCGACGGTTGCGCAGTCCGCAGACCACGGACGTAGGGAGGCGAGGAGACAGAAGGCAGAGAGAGGAGAAGGAGGGAGAAGGGGGGAAGGAGGAGATAGTCGCGACCGAGGTGCTCTACGTATTCAAGACGAGAACCCAAGGGAGGTTACGGCAAGAGAGGGAGAGAAGGAGAGAGAGGGACAGAGCGAGAGCGAGAGAGACAACACAAGAGACAGACAGAAAGGGAGAGAGAGAGAGAGAGAGAGAGAGAGAGACGAAGGCGAGGCGGGGCGGGAGGGAGAGGGCAGATGAGGGAGGCAGGGAGGTCAGGATGGCACGGGAAGAAGAGGAGGAAGGGGGAGGAGGAGGAGGAAGATGAGGAGGAGTAGGTGGAGCAGAAGCTGAGGAGGAGGAGAAAAAGTAGGACAGAGAGGAGCAGGAGGAGAGACAGGGCAGGAGAGGAGGAAGAGCAGGAGGAGGAGCAGAGGAGGAGGAGGATGAGAAGAAGGACAGAGGGATGTGAGGAAAGGACTGGCACAACCAGTCAGCCCTTTCATACTGCCTAACGCTCTGGCCGGGGGACCAGCGCTACACACTTTTTTTGGTCGGCGGGGCGAGAGCGAACCTCTTCCGGTAAAAGCCAGGCGGGCGATGCACAGCTCTAATTGGGGAGTGAGGGCGCAGGCGGGCGGGGCCTCAGGCGGCCAGAGAGGGCGGGGCCCGGGGTGCAGGCGGTGCTGAGGAGCTTCCACAGGAAAAGGAACGCCGTGGACAGGAGCCGGAGGCGAAGATCCGGAGGGTGAGCGATGTGGTGTCCACCAGCGCTACACACAAACACCCAGCGCTACACACACAAACACACCCTGCCTTGTCCGCATCAGAGCAGGCACGGTACGGCTTGCCGAGGAGGCCCGCCGCCGCAAGCCGAGAGCAAACAACACAACAAGCGTCGAGCCCGCCCCCGACCCCCTGCTGGCACAACAAAGGGAACCGATAGGGGGAGGAGCGGCTCAGGGGGAAAAGGAAAATCGCGCCCTCCCCAAAAATTCGCATGCTGTGGTTGCTCCTGCTCCAGCTCGTCCTCGTCCTCGCCCTCTGCAGGTCGTCGGCCTTCCCCCCACGTCCTTTGTCCTCTCTCCTCCCTTCTCCGTCTCCTCCTCCTCCTTGGGCTGTAGTGCCGACTCGTGCTGCACCCCCCTGGGCTGAGAGCCCCGTGCAGGCCCTGCCGCGGACAGACGATCCGATGCGCTCCTCCTCCTCCTCCTCCTCCTCCTCCTCCTCCTCCTCCTCCTCCTCCTCCTCCTCCTCCTCCTCCTCCTCCTCCTCCTCCTCCTCCTCCTCCTCCTCCCTCCTCCTCCTCCTCCTCCTCCTCCTCCTCCTCCTCCTCCTCCCCCCCCCCCCTCCTCCTCCCTCCCATGTCCCCCCTCGGCCAGCACCATCCTCTCATCCCGCCGCCCCGATCACTCCTCTGCTCTAGGAGGGGAGACTCGGGGGAGACCGGCTCCCATAAGGGGGGGAGCACCGAGCGGAAGTCGGCGCCACATCGCCGGCAGATCGGCGCCAGGCCCCCGACGGCGAGCCCGGAGGCTCCACGGCGGAGGGGGCCAGCAGGGCCCCCATTGGGCGAGGACTGGGCGATGGCGGGTGGGTGCGCCCCGCTCGGGGCCTGTGCCCCAGCGCTGCCCCCCGGCACAGGGGCAGACGTGGAGGCTCTGCTGCTGTCAAGGATGCCAGCTCCCCGGCGACGCACGCCATCTGCCAACCGCGGCCCAAACATAAGATGGATACATGCACACACATAAAAATGTAATTCTATGCATATATATATATGTGTATATAGATATGTGTATATATGCATACACACACATATATATATATATATATATATATATATATGAATGTGTGTATATGTAAACGTATAGATATGTGAGCGCCCGCCCGTGACAACCATCAGAATTGCCGGACACAGAGAAAGCAAATCAAACAACCCCATGGCATGCCAAATCTCGCTGCGATGGATGGCGGCGGCAACTGGCCTCCGGTCGGACGACAGAGGGGATTGATCACGGGGAGAGGGTAGCGAATCAGCTCGCGTAGCTGGTTTGCCCGGTGCCTCGCGGCGCCATCCAGGATCGCGCCCAGCGGTGGAACCGTAAGCGGCGGCACGCCGCAGCGTCCGCACCGCCCCCTTGCCGAATCCAGCCCTCTTCCGTCCGCCCCGATTGTCCAGCAACGGCAGCGGCGTCTGCAGGCCCGGACATCCGATGTCTCAGCATTCTTCGGTGCGGAACCTGGGTTCGGCAACGCCGACAGCGGCAGCTCTTGGCCAGGCGGTCAGCTGCCTCGAACGGACGACGTCCGCGGCGACACAGGACACAGACCGCAACTCCTGCTCAAACTGGGCAGGAATGGCTGTCGGCCTTCGCAACCCACGCTTCCCGTACCCGCGTTTCGATTGTGCGGATCCCTGCGGCAGGGTTTCGCAGCCGATGCCGCGAGGGCCTGATCTCATCGGCGGGAGGGCCGACCAGGATCTTCTGCTCGGCGTGCGCGGCGGCCACCTGCGCACAAGGCAATCCCAGAGTGCCCCAAAAAGCAGTGTGAGCACTGGCGCTCGGCCAGCGCTGCCGCCGCCACGGAGAAGGGGGGTGTCGAGGGCTTCCCGCGCCGTTCCTTCCTCCTTGTTTCACGTCGATCGGACTTCAAGCTCGGGGCTCCTCCTCCTCCTCCTCCTCCTCCTCCTCCTCCTCCTTCCTTGAACTGCTAGCACAAGGAAACTACGATATCACCAGTAACTGGGGCCAGGTCGTTCGCCCTAGCACCCTGCACAGCAAGCCAGTCGGCAGCTGCATTACAACGGATATCTCGATTGTCTGGCTCCGACATTGCGAAGTCGCCGCACCTATGAGCCTTCACTTTCTGCAAAGACACCCATTAGTCGCGGCTAAGTCGCGCCAGATGTGGGAAGCCTCGCAGTTGGCCGCCAACACTTGGCAAGACTGGTCCTGGTCACGCAGGAGCTCCGCAGAGCCCACGGCGACGGGACTCGAAGTCTGCCCTATCGAGGTGAGCATTGGACCACGAAAGGCGAATTGCTGTGGGGCAGAACCAGCCACACCGCCTGAAGCATCCCCACATTCTGGGCTCGCGACTGCTCGAGTGTGTTCACCCCTGGCGGCACTCCCTCGGGGTGCCCAAGCGCCACGCCTGCTGTATCGCTGCGTGAACCACCAGCATGGAAAAACCAGGGAGGACACACGCGAACTGATTGAGGCGTCCTTGCGATCTGGGCGCGGCGTTCGAAGTGTGTTCACACTGGGCGGCTTCCCTTTCGGGTGCACAAGTGCTACGCCTGCGATGTCGCGGTGAGCAGTGGAACACGCGAGAAGTCTGAGCGAGTCTGAGTGAGGGAGAGTGTGCCGAAGGGAAAGAATATGAATGTGTATGGGTGCGAATGCGTCGGAGGCTGATTGCCTGAGTGGGTGTGGGTGCTAATGAGAGAGTCTGAGTCTGAGCGATTGGGGGGGCTATGCCTGACGTCGACGTCCGGCCTGCTTTGCCGTCGTTGGCTCCGCCATACCCTTTCGGAGATATATTTGTCATATCTTTCTGTGGCGGGAATATCAGCCTTACGAGTTCCTATCGTTAGGGGTGCATTTCCGACACGACAATACGGTCGGGAACTTTTTGCTTAGCGCGTCGCCATGGCGGCCCCAGCGATACGCTATGTGTGACGAGCGGATCGCATGTCGCGCCGCCCCGCGTGGCGAGCGGCTGGGAGCAGCTCGGGGCGTTGACGCGCGGGGGCCGCGAAGCGGATACCGTGCCGCGCCGAAGCGCAGCGGATGAGAACTGAGCGACACGCTATCCACAGGTTCCCTGACGCACAATCAACCCATATATGCGGGACGGGAAAATGACCACAGCCACTGCTTCTTGCTTGCGCCGCCTTCCAGCCGGCCGAAAAAGAAGCAGTGGCTGTGGTCACTTCCCTGGTGCCAAGCTCAACGAGAATGACCACAACCACTGCTTTGTTTCTGCTGGCTGGAAGGCGGCAACAAAAGAAAAGCAGTGGCTGTGGTCTTTTTCACGTCCCGCAATATAGGAAGACCCACGATCAGGATGCAAGGGCCTTGGGAAGGCCATGCCGACACTCTGCGGGCGGGGCGCGGCCAGCGAGAGCGACCGAGGATGGGCCGGCGGGGATGGATGCAAGGGCAACCTTGGAAAATCGCTCATCCTTACTGTGCGGGCCGACTGTGGGTCGGAAAATATGGCAACAAGTTCTGCGAGGCAATGTCAATTCTTATACACCACCACCGCCCGCAACAACAAATAATAGAACAAATGGTTGGAGGCAGCGTTATGCCAATCGACGCTGCGACCACGCGGCGAATCAGAGCGCGGCGCGGCGCGCGGGCGCCGTGGTGAGAGAGTTCGTGACGAAGAACCAGCAATTCTTTGCAATGGTGTGTGGAAATCGCTCCTCTTTGTGATCAAAACTATGTGCACCACCACCGCACGTGTTCTGACGAATCCTGCTTCGGTGCCTGGGAGAGAGGGGACAGCCCGGCTGCCGTTGGCGAGGGGACTGGACATCGCTCGGACGTCCATTCCCTGTGCTTGTTTCGGTTTCGCGCGTGTTTTTTTTCGCGAAATGATCGAGGATGGTCCTCGACGGCCCTCGCCGAAGGAAAGATGCACACGTCCGAGCGATGCCAAGGGGAAGGGGAGGGGCGGTGGCACCTCCGCGCCAGAGCAAGCCTGCAACCAGATGCGCTCGCAGATGCTTCCTGATCCTGGCGGTGGCTTACCAGCCTCGAACGGATCCCTATCCCTAAGATTGACACGCCAAAAGGCGATGACAATCTTAGGGATCCGCCCTCGAAAAATAAGGGAATCCTTAAGATTGGCATCGTGATGAGGAGGTGCCCAGCATAGGGATAGGGATATGTGCCCGGCTGGAAAGTGGCGGCTAAAAACTTGTGTGGTTCGGAGGTGCGGCGGATCCGAGGTCGGGAACCCCGGAGCCTGGGCGCGCTGCGCCAACAGCAGCCCCGCGTCCAGGTACCACCGCTCGTCCCCGAAGAGCTCCACGCCGTCCTCCCAGGGGGGGCCGCCGCGGCACCGCCGCGCCGCGGCCCCCGCTGGCCTGGTCCGGGGGCGGCCCGACCCGCCGAGGGACGCCCGTCGGCTCCGCCTCCCCAGACCCCCCCCCTTGCGCCTTTCGCTCCTTGAATGGCGTGGTTTCGCTGCTTGCGTCCTCATGCTCCTCCTCCTCCTGCTCCTGCACCTCTTCCTCCTCCTCCTGCATCTCCTCCTCCTCCTCCTCCTCCTCCTCTTCCTCCTCCTCCTCCTCATCCCCCTCACCCGACCTCGCTCCAGGCGCAGACCGTTATGCACACGAGTCCAGACGGCATGAGTGACCCTGCGTACACGCCTCATGCAGCAAGCACTCCAACACGTGGCGGGTTCCAGGAATCCTGAAGCAACAATGTGACCATCACTTGGGAGGCCGAGGATTACTTCCGCGGGCTTCCGCCAGCCTTCCGCTGAGTTGAAGGTGCAGGGCGCATAACACCTTTTGTTGTGAAGAAATAATAACGGGATATGTTCGCCAGACCCGACTCCTGGAAAGCTTTATCGGGCCGTGAGGCCGCCAAGGAACGAACCAGGATGAAACGCTGGTGCCAGGAAATTGCCCGAGACCTCCTGGGGCCCACGTCTTGGAACAGATCATGATGTGCTTTCTGGGCCGGGCCTAATGAAGCACCCAAGACGGTCCAAGAAGGCCCCGAGTCGCTGCAAGATCGCTCCAAGACGCCCAAGAAGCTTCCAGGCAGCCCAAGACGCTCCCGAGACCCCCCAAGACCCACCCTCTCGTTCTCATCTACATCACCATCACCCTGTACGCCCCAAAAGACCATGGGAAACAATATGCACTCTCGGCGGATGCGGCGTATTCAATCAACGCATACTTAAAACATCGAGGCCAGCTTCCTGGAAAGTTCTCAGCATGAGCCTGGACAAAGTTCTGCCATTGATACTGGAAGGGCGCACGTGCTCGAGGAACGGGGCCAGCTATACGCTTGGCCAGCTTCTCGGGAGGAGATTTCCTAATCAGATGTAGTCAGCACGGTCTGGATTAGTTCAGGCATACAACTGCCGTCTGACCATTTGACATGTTCACAACATCCAAGAGGTATTCCGTGACATATTCACTCTGCCGTTGCAGAGCGCTCGTCGGCAAAAAAAAAACATCAAAAAATCAGATGTGCGACTGCAGAGGCATGAGGTCGATTGCTTTGGTCGGGTGCTGCCAGAGGTGTCCACGGCACAGGGTGCACCCAGGCGGCCTCCAGCGCACCCGCCCGCGGGGCCCCAGGTGCTCCCGGATGGCGCGCAGACCTACACCCATGCGTAGAGTTAAGCACGCTTCGCGCCACGAGAGTGACCTTTGCTCCAGGCGGTTCCTCCAACAGCAGTCAAGGTCGAGAGAAACGACGGTCCTACGATGACCAGAGCTCCAAGATGACGCGCCCAGAGCTCGGTCAAGATGCTTGATTTTCTTACGCGAGATCTGGAGTCCATGGAAGATGGCGCGTCTCCTGAAACAGTGTCTGGTGGGTGTACGGACATCTGGGGCCAAGAACACCCCCCGCAACCGCAGACCGTTGGATCTTCCTCTGTCTGTCGGGGCTTCTCTGGACCTCTCTGGAACTACCTCGATACATCCAGTAGGCTTCCGTCGGGTCGCGTAGATGCGCATCAGTCTCTTTTTTTTAAAAAAGGTGAAACCACACAATACTAACATAACAAGAAGAGTAATCATAACACATCATACTAAGAAAAAACATAAGTACCCGCTGCCCCTAGAAGGGGCGATCCTGCTCCCTCACGCCACTGAGACAGCACAACAGCCCAACGATTCACGCTGTCTTGCGAGCGTGGCCGAAATTCCGCCGATACCTGTCGACCTCGAGGCCCTGAATGCAAAAGCCTGCAATGGCCCCGGGTCCAGGAAGAGCGGGCGAGAAAGGAGGAAGGAGGAGGCGACGAGGAGGAGGAGAGAAAGTGGGCAGCGTGGTTGCCGAAACTGCACGCCCAGGCATGCGGGCGGCTAAGAGATGCAGCACGATGTTGAAACTCCTACTGGCCTCGAGCGGCCAATGCATGATCCAACCCAGCATGAGATGGGAGGGGGAGGGGGAGGAGGAGGAGCAGGAGGAGGAGGAGGAGAAGGAGGAGAAGGAGGAAGAGGAGAAGGACGAAGGGCAGAGAGGCGGAAAGGGCAGGTCGAACATCCAGCGCAGAGATGCCGTTTTTGCTTTTGCACGCGAGGCTCTCGGGGGAGAGAAAGGTACACCCGTAGCTCTACCCTTCCCTCGTTCCCCCCTCTTTGGGGCCTCCTGGGCGGCCCTCGTCACCACCGCTGGGCTCGCCTCGAAATTCTGGTCAGAACGCACCCTGGGAGAGGTCCGCGGCTCCTCCACCCCACCCCCGACAAAAACTGAGCGCGCGCTCGCGCGCACCCTCGGGAGGCAGAGAGCGCGGGAAGGAGGAGGGAGGGAGGAGCTCCAGGGGTTCCGCCACCACGCAGCGGTGGGGAACGAAGGGCGGGGGGGGGAGAGCGCACCCCGGTACCGCTTGCTCTCCCCAGGCTCCGGCTGCATCAGGGTACAGCGGCTGTCTGGGAGAGAGCCCAGACCTGGGATGCTTGGGAATGGGCACCGCCACCAACACGGGTGGTTGCCTCCGCCAGGGGAGGATGGCCTCAGGTTCCGGTGCTGGTGGTAACCTCTCGGCCACCTGGGAAGCCCGGATATTACCACCATCAGCGAGATCGGGATCGCCTTCCTTCCGTGGAGGCACATCGCCGATACTGGTGCGAGTGCCAATCAGACAGCCGCACGAGAACATGGTGCCAAGGTGCCAGGCCGCCGCGACAGACTGGCACTGGGCGACCTCCGAGGCCAAGCCTCGGAGCTCGGTCCCTGGACTTCGGTCGGGCGCGTCCCCCTACAGGCGGATTCTCGACAAAAAATTACAAATAGACAAAAACACAAAAACAAAAATCAAAAATGCTAAAAAATAGTCCCCAGACTATCGGTTGACTATGTTTGACTATTCCTCCCTGTAGAGGGACAGGCCCGACTGAACCCTGGGCGACCTCCGCGGCCACGCCTCGGAGCTCGGCCCCCAGACGTTGACAGACGCCCAGGGACTGGCGCAGATGGCGCCCGCGCAGCGCCGACCTCGAGGCACCGAGGCGGGCCGGCCGCGTGCCCGGCACACCTGCTGCCCGCGTGCTGCAGCGGGGGCGCTGACCGGCACGGGCAGCGATGGCCCGCGGGCGGGGAACGCCCGCTTCGCTCCCGTGAATTGGAGGCCTGGAAGTTGGCACCAACACCAGCACAGGGAGTTGTCTCCATAGGGGGGAGAAGGTCCCAGATTTCTGTGTTGGTGGTAAGATTTCGATCACCTTGGAAGCCAGAATATTACCACCATCACCGAGATCGGGATCGTCTTCCCTCGGTGGAGGCACACCGCCGATCTTGATGTTGGTGTCAACGTTTAGGTCTGCGACTGAAGACGAAGCCAGGACGAGGATCACTTCGGGTGAGGACGCACCGGGCAGCTCTGGAATATGTCTCGGGCGCCGCGGCCTTCTCAGAGCGCTCCGGCACGCTCTGAGAGGGCTCCTCGTGCACGCTCTGGAACGGATTCGTCCTCGTCCTAGCCCCGTCCGATCCCGACCTCCCACTCCCCTCCATGCCGCTGTCCTCCGCTCCAGACGCACCAAAGCCTTGGTCCTCGAGAGCTTCGGTCCGGGCCCGAACACCCCGGCCCTGGTCCGAAGGCCTTCGCCCTCGAAAGCCCTGGTGCTCCACCACCACAGAGCCAAGCATCCAGGAGGACGCGTGGGCAGAAGAGCGCGCGATTGGCAAGCCTTCGTGAATTGCAGGGTGAGAAAACAAAACAAAAAAAACACGAATCACAAAAAACGAAACGTGGCGCTCCCCGCCCCAGTGCCAGCCTGGTCCCCGCAGTTTGCCGGTCCCTCACTGCGGACTTCGCCGCCTTCTCTCCTCCGTCGCCTCCCCCTTCCCCCAGGAAACCCAAAGCGGGTCAGGAGGCAACTACTGGAAGGTCCTCGTCGGAAGAACTAACGAGGATGAAGCCCCATTGGGGGGCTGCTACGCCGGATTAGGCCACGGATTTGGCGGGATTAAGCCAGACTAAACCGAACGAAACCCGATGAAACGGGATTACACCGAATTAAACGGGATAAAGCCAGATTCCGGACCAGGGCACAGTCAGAATTTGATTCCCCAGGAGTTGCATCCGAAGGGGGGGACAGCAACCCTAGACATGCTCGCGTCGTGGCAAAATCAGTGTCTCTGGCGATCCCGAGGAGGCGGGAAGAAGGTCTTTGCTCGCAACTCCAGACTTGCTGGACAGGCAACTCGATCTGCTCGCAATCGCTAGCAACCCCAGACGTGCTCGCGTCATGCCGAAGGTCTTTGGCCGTTCGCGGTCTCTGGGGGCCCCTGCCAAGCCCCGGGAGCGTTAAAAAGCGCCTCGGGATGAGCACCATACCAGGGCCTGGGGAAACGGGTCGGGGCTTCCGAGGACCCCGTGCGGAACAAATCGAGGACGCAAACACACAGAGGTGGCGACCCCTGGGCACGCCCGAGGGTCACCCGGTGCTGTGGACGACGCTCAGGCGTGCCGCCACCGAGGGGTCGCCTCCCCGCATCCACGATTGGTTCTCGCTGGCGGCGGGCCCCCCGGGAGGTCTCTACAAAATTCCATGGGCCTGGCTTCTCGTTGGGAGTCGGTTCTGGCGATCCCCCGGCCTGGTGAGGGCCACTCCACTGAAGGGGGCCGAAAACTATTTGATGAGCAGGTCACGATGCGATCTCCCCGCCTGCATCTCCCAGGGTGCGCTCTGACTAGAAGGTTGATTTATGTGTGCTCTCTGAGGTCCATGTGGCCTCCTCTGAGGTCCCTGCTTCCCAGACACGCGACCGTACACGTTTGTCCAATCATTATGTGGTGTTGGGTCCTCGCTCTGGAGCGACAGCGCCCCGCGACAGCGACAGGGTAATGGCAGGGGGGACGCGAGGGAGAGCACGAGAAGCGGAGACATGCACGAAGGAGCTGGGTGCAGCGGGGCGGAATCGAACCCGACGGCTCGTGGAACCAGCGACTTGCGCCCGGAGGTGTCGCGACGCTGCGGCTAAGTATGGCGATTGCCCTGGAACCGCGTGGTCCCGAAGAGGAGGAGGAGGAGGAGGGGGAGGAGGAGGAGGAGGAGGAGGAGGAGGAGGAGAGGAGGAGGAGGAGGAGGAGGAGGAGGAGGCGGAGGCGGAGGAGGAGGAGGAGGAGGAGGAGGAGGAGGAGGAGGAGGAGGAGGAGGAGGAGGAGGAGGAGGAGGAGGAGGAGGAGGAGGAGGCGGAGGAGGAGGAGGAGGAGGAGAAGGAGGAGGAGGGCGGGGGGAGGAGGAGGATGATGATGATGAGGAGGAGGAGGAGGAGGAGGAGGAGGAGGAGGAGGAGGAGGAGGATACCAGCCCGCAGGGGCACTACTTCTCGTCCCCCCTCCTCCCTCCTCCCACCATTGCCTCCGCCCTTCGCATGTCGACCCCTTCGGTGCACCCCCATCACATGCCCCGTGGCCCCAGCAGGACCTCTCCTCCGAAGGCACCAGCTGCAGGGTCCACGTGCGGTTCCCCGCCCATGTGGCCACACCCCTCACACGTTCCGTGTGGCCCCACAGGGACCTCCACCAGCCCAGCGGCAGGGTCCACATGCGGTTCCCCGCCCACTGGCACACTCCTCACATGTTCGCGGCCCTATAGGGCGCCCCACCGAAAGTCCCAATGGCAGGGTCCACATACGGTTCCCTACCAATCTGGGCAAACCCCTCACACGTTTCGTGAACCCTCTCCGCCGAGGTCCCCCTGTGGCGGGGTCAACATGCGGCTCCCCGCCCATTTTGGTCACACCCCTCACACGTGTCGCGGCCACATAGGGAGCTCCACCGAAGGCGCCAGTGGCACGGTCCACATGCGGCTCCCCGCCAAATTTTGCACAGCCCTCACACGTTTCGTAGCCTCACAGGGAGCTCCACCGAAGGCCCACGTTGCAGGGTCCACGTGCGGTTCTCCAACCATGTGGACACACCCATCTTGCACAGCCCTCACACGTTTCGTATCCTGACAGGGAGCTCCACCGAAGGCCCCAGTTGCAGGGTCCACGTGCGTTTCTCCAACCATCTGGACACACCCTTCACACGTGTCGTGGCCCCACAGGGAGCTCTACCGAAGGCACTGGTGGCACGGTCCACATACGGTTCCCCGCCCATTTGGGCAGACAACTCACAAGCTTTCTGATCCCACAGGGACCAACATCGGCATTCGCAACAGCATATGGTTGGGTCCTTCGCGAAGATAACGTTTCACAAGGTGGAACCCCCCAGGACCAGACCCCTCACCCGGGAGTGGCTGCCCATCGTGTAAACAATTGTGTGGTGGTCCTGGGGCCCGGTGAAAGGGCCCCCAGGAGCCGAGAACAACAGATGACATGCAGCAGCGTTTCGCCAGAGGGTCCCAGCGGTGATGCACCACGATCGCCGAAGTGCGGTTAGACTGATGGAACAACAAGGAAAGAAGTCCCAGTGCAGGGGCCACCGCCCCAGAACGTTCGGTCAGGCAACCGTTTTCCCTGAGACCTCCCCGCCTGAAACAGGAACCGTGCTCTCGCCTCAATGCCGGCTGCACTCCTGGCCTGGAGGTCCACGAACCAAAAATTAGTATATAAAAAACACATGGACATGGCCGTGCTATCACCCCTGGGCACTCCAAACACCAACCTCCGAAATTCTCTTCGATTCGCCCCTTCACCTTTGCTGCTTTGAGGGTGCGTTTCCGGGGACGTGTTTGTACGACGCGAGCACGTCTGGGTTCTCATCTGGTATACGTTCTGTTTGTATTCTCCGCAGTAACACCCAGCACCGACCGTGAAGGCAGTCCTGTCAGCGGCATGCCACAGCGGCATGCCACAGCGGTGCGGTTGCCACGCTCCGACCAGCGGGTGAGACATGCAGAAGGCTCTCAGAGCTGGAATGATCTTGGGTCAGCTTCCCAAACACACCAAGCTTCAGGAACCTCGGAACTATCTCTCCGACTTCCTGCGCTCACGCATCAAGTTGAGATCATCTTCCCACCTCCTCGGCATCGCCAGGGGATGAACAAAACAGTCTGTTGTCACCCCCACCCGTTGGCCCCGCGGGAACGCCAATGGACGGGCGGTGGGATGTGCAATAAACTGGTGGCGCGAAGTATTGCGCGACATCTCTCGCGAACTATCACTGGGGAGCACGGACTGTTGCAAAGGGCGTATAGTATTCCGACCACCGCAAACGAGATTGCTCCCATACGGAAACTACTGCGAGAGAAACGAAGATATGGACGCGGAGACAGTCTCTTCAAAACGGGGACGCCAATACCACAGGATGGTTGGACACATCTGCGTAAACAACAGCGATCGGAGATCAGCGCGGATTCCTTAGAACCGCGCCAGGCCCCCTCCCTGGCGCGCGGAGCGCGCCAGGGGCGACGCTGGAGGCGCCGCCAGGGGAGCCCAGCGCCGATCCAAGAACTTCGCGCAGAGCGTCGAACGTTGATGCTTATGCAACTTTGATCCAAGCATCCTGTGGTGCCGGGTCCTCGCTGTGAAGAGACAACCCCCGCGACTCTGTCATCCTTCCTTCGCTCCTCCTCTTCCTCCTCCCTCCTCCCATCACCTTTCCTGTGTCCTTCGCGTTGATGTCTGTGCCGCTTTGTTCTTCTTCAAACTCCATTGGCTCACACTGTCACCCCCGTCCCGTTGTTCTGAGGGTCAACGATCGGAGGGGATAGGCTTCTGGCGGGATGCATCGACCTCGAATGACTGATGCATCGCCCACGCATCGCCGGTACGTCGTCGAT